CGCGGCCGAGGCAGCACACCCCGCCCGCGAGGCCTGGCACCTCCTAACGTTCCAGTTTCAGTGCTCCTTCGTTGGGAGCGACGAGACATGTCCACGCAGGAACGAATGTGGCACGGGGAGAAAATCCGAAAAAACATCCAACCGTCGGCAGAGCACTCCAGCAGCACAAGCAGCAGCAGTAGCAGTAGCAGCAGGCCTCGTGGTGTGACATTCGGTTGAAAAGAGACGCCGATACGCATACGTAGACGGAACCCGTCGAGAGGCATCGCAAGGTGGACCCTTACTGCTGTGCGCCAGCGATAACTTGGGCACAAAACGAAGAAAAGTTTGTATGCAACCAACTGCTGTGTGTACGAATCGCAAAATAACGCAATATCGGGTCAAATAGAGAATAGACTAAAATCGTGCAAAACGATCTATTTCTACAGTATAGAAAGAGCGGGACGATCGGAGCTGTGATCGGAGCTGTAGTCCCGAAAAGCCTTGCTATTGTGAGCGAAAAGTGGCCGGGGACGATAGTCTCCTTGCCGCTCGTACCTCTCTACCTTTAGGCACAACAGCAGCAGCAGTAGTAACCCAATCACTACCATCATCATGGGCCCAGAGGAAGTTGCTCTGTTTTGGCAGCACATAGCAGACCAATGACATCCCGAGACGGCTCCACGTGTTGTCTGGGATGAGCTGCTGGCCATCGCGAACTCCACGCCAGACCAACTTCCCGACGCCACGGCTGCTGCAGCCCGGGCGGTAGGACAGCGCTACTGTCAACACGGGGCAGCAGAGCCGCAGCCCCTACCGGAGATCAGGAACCTTGCCGAAAGGAAGACCGCGGCGCAGCAGCACCACGGTCTCTGCGGGTATCATTGTGTAGGGGACGCTACTGCTGCTGTGCTGCTGTCCCCGTCGTTATTTGGTTCCTTTTCGACGGTCTACTCGTCCAGTCCAGCCAACGTCGACGCAGGTATCCACAGCTCAATTCGGGCTCAATTCGGTTCGATCATGTCGCATTAAAGAGTCATCGGAGCTGGGAACGGAGCTCATTCGTGGGTGTAGTCACATAAGGGTGAAGTGCGGGCGCCATCTGTAATACACAAATTAACATGAGTCTTTCTTCCGCTCAGCCAGCGCCCGTACTAATGACCACTATTATTACGTAGTTTCGGGCGAGGCTGGGGTTGGTACAGTAGTTCCAATGGCACGCTGCGAATAGCCGCTGTTTAGGGGTTCTTTGCCGTGCGCGCAAATGGTGCTCAAGTTCTTTGAAGTAGATTGAGACTCCCCGTCCTCAAGTGCGGGTGTCAACTACTGCTGTGTTCTAGCATACCATATTTTACTCCCTTCTTTTCCCTGTACCACCCGTGGGTGAACTTCGAGCCGTACGAAGTTACCGACCGCGTGACTTTCTCTTCGACTACCACTATTGCGGCACTCACTCGTGGCAGGCGAGCATTGTACATAGATATTGTCGGCGGTTTGGTCGGGGTTTGCGACCCCGCAACGCGCAAACCTAAAGAAAAAAAAAGGAAGCGTGCAACTCGCCGTCCAGCGGGTGGCCAAGCGGAACCATCTGGTGCAATGCGTGCGTTTGTGGTGCTCGTCGTTAAGATAGACGATGCGGCAGCACTGGTTCTCCGGAGATACACAGATACGTGTAGACTACAGTCCAATGTCCGGGTGTGTCAAGGAGGCCACAGCCATCCAGAGAAGAGCAAAGATGGAGACCGAGGTCGAGAAACGGGCGGCAGAAGCAGCTCTCGGGCGAAACGCGAAAGGGAAAGGGCGGAACAATACGCACGCCGTAGTCGAGATATTGAGTGAAATGTTCCAACGTGGGTGTGTCTGGTGCGTATGGTGTTTGGACATGCACGTGCGCAGATCGGTCTGCTCGTTTCATATCTACCTCTAGCTAGCCCGGTCTGCTTGCCACAGCAGTGTTTGTAGCCAGCTTCTGCACGGCTTCCACTTCGCTGTACCTGTCCTTACCAAAAGCTCTCTCACATTCTGTGTTGATATGTCCACCTTACCCAAGGGAATTTTTCATCGCCGAAAGAATTTCCGTTGAAAAGGCTTATGTTCTGATACGTGCATCTGCATGGATGCATGCAACATGCCATACGAGGCGGGAGATGTTCGTTCACCAACTGCTTATCGGAAGCAATCATACCATGTAGTCTAACTGCTGTAGTTCAGTGGCTGTGCAGTGTTTGTATCTGACGGATCTGGGCTACTCCTGTGCACCAAATGAAATATAGAGGACTTTTGTAGAGAGCATTGCCCTCTTTGGTGTGGATCTGTCTGCTGTTTTGTTGGACAGCAGCCGTCGTGTAGGCTACATCTTGCGCCGAGAGAGGATCCAATCTGAATCTTCCCATCTCATTGGAAGCATCCGACGAACGTGGGATCTTAGATCCAAGGGTAACGGTCGTGTTCCACGCCGCTTGCTGATGACAGTCAGCCCCACACCATTACCCACCCACGCTTTTATTCACTTCCCTCCTCTCATCCTCTCACGTGTTCAGGGCCAAAGAAAGCAGTTTCTACAGTTTCGTGAAGGCAGGAGAAATCGGTGAGCATAATGATGCACACACACGCACTTTGTACATGCATTTATTGGTCACATAGTGCAGCATCACCCTCCACCCTCCTCTCATCCTCTCACGTGTTCAGGGCTAAATAAAGCAGTTTCTACAGTTTCGTGAAGGCAGGAGAAATCGGTGAGCATAATGATGCACACACACGCACTTTGTACATGCATTTATTGGTCACATAGTGCAGCATCACCCTCCACCCTCCTCTCATCCTCTCACGTGTTCAGGGCTAAATAAAGCAGTTTCTACAGTTTCGTGAAGGCAGGAGAAATCGGTGAGCATAATCCGCCCCGCGTTGATGCACACACGCCGCACTGAGACTGACGTCTTTTCATTGGTCAGCCGGTTAGCGCGGTCGATGCAAATAATAAAAGCACACGCACTTTTACATGCATTTATTATTTAGTTACATAGTGCAGCATCTCGACGGGTCTTGTACATACCGCTCGAGATTGACGTTGGGGATTGGTTATCTACTGCACCCCGCTTGAGGCTCTACCGTACAGATTGTCACTCTACGCTGCCGAGTATCTATTGTCATGTTTACGTGCATCCGGTCATTCGGCATTCGGCACCTGTGACGAACCCAACAGTTGAGAGCGGAGAGACCGCAGGGATTTTTCGACCTCTGTTTGCCACTGCTGTGTACCTCGTGAAATGTCTGTTTGTTTTCTGTCTCTTGATTGGAACGCGTTTCGTGTGGCAGTGCTGATGGAAAATAGAATGCCTGTCGACCATTTTTCACGTGAACGCACGCCCCACACGAAACGAAAATCTGGTATTGTTCGGCGCAGCAGTTTTTGTGGAACGCTCCGGTGTGGTAGTCCACTTTGTGTATTTCTCGCAAGCCATGTGTAAATTTTAACACGAAGTGGTAGTCTACACAGTAGTAGAAACTACCTACATGGGCCCGCGCAACGGACTTCAGATTTCAGATTGGTTGTCTTCGCATGACACTCGTACAAGACTCGGTCCGCGGTCACAAAAAATGCAATACACTCAGCAGAAGAGGGTACACAACGTGATTGTCCTGGTTCGTTTCTCTGATTTCGGATCGTCCTCGAACATGAGCGACTTTGAAATTGCGCCAACCGTCACGGACACTTGCAGCGTATGCTGGGGTACGTATTGCCCCGCCGTTGTTGACTTAGAGCAGAAGACTTGACGGCTGGTGTTGTTTTGCAGGGGCGGAAACTGATTCCTGCCCCGTTGCCATGGTTGTTATTGGGCGGGAAGAGTCACCGTTTGGTATCCCACTCCTCCCCGGCCTGCCCCCCCCGTCCCTGGGGTAGGCCGAGGTTCCGCAAGTGGATCTAGACCTCGAACGACCACCCAGCAACGACGGCTATACGGTCCCTAGCACTGTTTTGAGGGGGATCCTGAGTTTGGCGGTTGGGAGTTACTGCTTTCGTGAGATCGGGGTAGCTCCTTAGCCGCCAGCTTTGCTGCAAAATGAGACTGGATCCTGACGTCCCGGCTTGGACACCGGGGCTATGCAGCAGCAGAGAGCACGGTGAGGGTGGCGGAGTGGCCGCACGCCGTGGGGGTATGCCCCAGAGAGAGGAAAAAAGAGAGTCCAGAGATGGAGGGCCACACCGCTCCGGGACAAGAAGGCAACTCTTCTATGGGAAACAAGGCAAGAACCGGGGTAACTATCACGTTAGCCCGAGTGTTCGCAAGAAAATAGCAAAAAACAAAAAAAGAGAGGAAGATGGAGGAAAAGGAGAGGTCGGGCGGCGCATAGGCTAGCTAAGAGAGCAGCGCGCGCCTCACGAAAGAGACAGCAGGGTCAACTTCTTAGGGTAGCAACCTGGAATGTGCGGACTTTGGCTGTAAACGGGGCCAATGGATACGGGCGAGCCTACAGCGTTCTTCACGAGGTAGCGAGACAAGACGCATCGGTGGTAGGAATGCAGGAGACACGGAGGGCAGGTCGAACGGAATTTGCAGCAGCGGGTTTCCAGGTGTTNTGGCCATGAGGTTTCTGTTGGCAGGCCACCGTGGAGCGGTCAACTTCGTAGCCGCGTATGCTCCAACCGAACCTTCAACCGCCGACAGCAAGCGCGTGTTCTGGGGAAACTTGACAGTCTCGTGCGGAGG